GATCAGAAAAATTTATGCAGTATTAGAAATAATATTTTATGAAAAGCAACTGCGGCCGAGAAATTTTTTACATTTAAATATACAACTTTTAAACTAATAAAGCTAATGCAATCAAATTTTCAGTAAAAATAGATAGTGTCCAACCAAATATAATAGAGTATTAAAATATATCAAAAGCAATTAAAATCATGCTATACAAAATTTTAAAATGTCATGTAATCTGTCGACATTTTTTCGGCTCCGTAGGTTTAGCAACACTTCATCCTCATCAATTGGTACATTAAAAAAATATGCCTCTATTGTCAATATCAAATTGGTTTGTTTGTTGATCTCCTCCAAGTAAATACATATCAAAATTACAGGGAGTGATTACAATCTGTAACTCTGGAAAATAAAAAATAAAGATTAGGACTATTAATTTATGAATACCGGTACATGCAAATAATGATTCAATATTTTTAAATAGGCTACACAATGTTCTTTATTATATGTACACTTATAGCTGATAATAACTAGGACTAGGGGCTATCTTACTATCTAATTCATTGCTATTTGTATGTCAAAGCACTTTTATCACTTTGACTTTGTTGTTTTATCTCAGTATATGTATTAGTTTTATTGATCCAAAGCCTGCTCTTATATAATAACTATATAGGCCTAAAGTGTAATTATTATTAAAAACCAGTTATTAAAAAGTATATATTTAAAATCAAACTACTAAGTTATAATACAGGAAATATTTATTTAGTTGTTTGAAAAAGGTTTTAAATAATAATAACCACTGTTTACATTAGAGATTTACCACTTCCGGTAGATCGAGGGGGAAAAAATGGCCACGACTTGGCAACCTTGAATTTTTAGTCACACGGTTCAAGCTCTCATAAATTTTGGGGACGATCTATACTCTTTAAAATAAGTGTTTCTGCTTTTAAAATATATAATCTATGCGAACAAGTAATTTCCAAGTCCGAACGCGATTTAAAAAAAAAAATATAGCACAGCAAACTCACTTACCCCAAGTCAACTTTCCAATTAATCGTCTCAGCAAGGTCAGATTTCCACTTAATTCATACCCTCGTAACCGGCATGCATCGCAGATTTGAATAAAACCAAGGAGAGTCCTCTATTTTTAGAAATGACGCAAAACAACACTAATCACCAAGATCTACCGAAAACGAAAAGCGCCGGCTGATCACAGCGATCGCCGCTCGGCAGGCCTCGTTTTTCTATCGCGGGCGGCGAAAGTATTGGAGTGCCTACCCATGACTAGGAATGTCATGGCCTGTAACAAATAAAGCATAAGTACTGAACTAATCCCATGACTAGCAATGTCATGGCATGTAACAAATACAACATGAAGTGCTGAATGTCATGAAAAGTTATTTTATGTAGATCTAGTCCCATGAGATGTAAATAACTTTATTTTGTGGCATTTTTGGAATAGATATGTACGGTGTACGTTTCATGTTGCAAAAGTTTATAATGAAACACATTTATGTCATATCAATGCAGATTTAAAAAAAAAAAAATTGTTGAACTCCATTAATCAAGTGCATTCATTATATAATTAATTTCCTTAACCTTGATAGAAAGAAGAATGAGAGAGAGAGAATCACTGAATGTATCTGAAACTCCACTTGAAGTGATTTGTATTTGAAATGTAGAGTTGCATTGACAAACCATTTTATTATTTCCCCAGGGAAGACAGACAAGAGCAGTTGTCAGATGTACAAGACGAGCTTCAAGAGGCCCTCAACACTTGTGCTCAGTACAAGAACGAGGTATGCTACATAACCATGTCAACTGTATCAGCATCTGTGTGATGCTGATCATGAATGTAAATCCATTATTTCTTTTTAAAGATCGAAAAGAAGATAAATGTAAGGCTAAAATTGTGTTCTCCTGATTGATGAACTGGTTTAATTTAAGGAGTCATGATGTGACCAAACTTAAAAGGGTTACAAAGAAATTTCTTTTTTAAAATTATAATCTTAATTGAATAATCGTGTGTGCATTACCAAAGAAAAAAATTAATGAATGCTAAAATTCTGCACAGGATGGATAAAGTCCTATGACAGATTGTCACTTGTGATTAATTTATCTGTCTATTTCTCAACAGAGTGCTTTATTACACCAAGAAGCAAGGACCACCAGGACGTTGAGAGATGAGTTGGACATTATGAAAGAAAAGGTAGGTCATCAACTCATCAAATAACACAAGGCCCTCCTTTATGTTCACCTAATGAAAACCCTTACACATTATGCATAAGCTCAACATGATAGGAATTGAAATGTCCTTCCCTTTTCTGCAGGCGGCCAAGGTGGACCTGTTCGAAAAAGAAATCCTCAAGTACAAAGAGCGACTCAACGAGTTGGAGTTTTACAAAGCAAGGACAGCTGTAAGCCACAAAACAAAACGAAAAATGTTTTTCACATTCATTTTCTTGTTATATGTCAAAGTGTTTGTTAGAAACTTAAAACTTAACCCAACTGTTCAAAACTTAACCCAACTGTTCAAAACTTAACCCAACTGTTCAAAACTTAACCCAACTGTTCAAAACTTAACCCAACTGTTCAAAACTTAACCCAACTGTTCAAAACTTAACCCAACTGTTCAATTCAACTATCAATTCTAACTTAACTGAGAATGTTTGCAACAACAAAAAAATCAGTGGGTGTAAATTTCATTTGTTTGTTTTGTGTAAACTCTTGCCAATCTTGTCCAGTTTTTTTAATATTATTTAGGAAAAATTCTTTTCAAATTGAAATTTAAAAAAATTTGCTAAAAATGTTCTTTGATGGCTGGGCAGTAGAATTTGAATCTGGTTGAAGTTTTTTTATCGTGAAAATTAAATACTGTCAAAGATTCTGTTAATTTTTAAATAATATAAATAATAGCATTCCACAAATTAAATAGCCACCGAAACTACTGGTTCTAACTCTGTAGACCTGCTCTCAACATTGTATGCATGTGTTAGCTGTGTATCATCGTATGCATCTGTTAGCTGTGTATCATCGTATGCATCTGTTAGCTGTGTATCATTGTATGCATCTGTTAGCTGTGTATCAGTAAAGATAATCTGTTCTGTCCACTCTCCCAGGAGTTGAAAGAAGATAACTCTATATTGGAAGAGACCAAAGCCATGTTGGAAGACCAGTTGACCAACAGTCGTAAAAGGATAGAAACGGTGGTGGAACTAGAGACAGAGCTGGCAAGAAACAGGGCTCAGCTGGACACAGTCACCAGAGTGCGTTGATGAGTGACAAACTTCTGATCAAAACTGGATTGGACTTAGATGAATTTTCAATTATAGACAAGTTTATTTATCCAATACTAATAGCGGCGAAATGTCAGTTACTGACCAAAAAAAACTTGTTATTAATATTAAAATATCTGTAATAAGGGTTATGAAGGTAATGCATTGAGATGATTTCCATTTCTCTCATGACACAGATATTTTTTCTTCAAAATGGAAAAATGCAGTTTTAAAAAAAGTACAGATCTTGTTTATATTTGTGCTTGAAAATTTTACAACAATGTTTTTTGAATGATTCTACAACCCACCGCCCATTTTTTCCTCCACAGACTCACGATTCAGATCTTGAGAAGATTGAGTACTTGACAGAGCTGAATGCTAGGCTTGAGTTTGAGAAGAAATCCAGTATGTGTGAAAGTGCAAGCCTGGAGACAGAACTCTCAGCTGCCAGATCCCGAATCGGTAGTAAGTCATTATGTCTGCATCGTTTTTTTTCTTAATTCCTAGTGGTAATTGACAACAGAATCGGTAGTGATTCATTAAATTTTTATGTTTTTTTAGTTCCTATTGGTAACTGATTTTTTTTTTTTAAATACGTTTTATTGTAAAATTTAAAGTTACCTAATTTTGAAATGAATAATAAAAATATTTGTGGAATTTTTTATTTTTTGCCGAATGGTCATCTTTTTCTTCTTCCTTTTCTGTGTTTTTTCATCATTGAAAACAAAAAGATATGGCCTCCTCACTGTCTGACCAGCTGTCTGAGACTTCACATGCCAAAATCTTGAGGCTTGAACTGGAGAACCAACGCCTGTCAGCCAAACTGGCAGAGATGAAAGAGACGGCCCTGATTCAGAGTGCTGAGATGAGTCTGGAAATGGAAAAGGAAAACAAACGACTTTCAAACAAAGTAAAAATGTCCCCCATACTTTCCTTTCCTTTCTTTTTGTTTGAAATTTTATTGCTCTCCCTTACTTTTATTCCTGAGCTTCAGGGTCAAAGTCAAAATTCATTTAATAAATTATTCTGCCAAGTTTTAAGTCAGACTGTAAGTCTTGTACCGTTTTCTTTTATCCACTTTAAAAACTGCTCATGTGGTTGTTGTTTTTTTTTTTTAATGCAGATAGAGAAACTTCAGACCAGCATGATAGAATCATCAGAGCGCGTCATCAAGATGGAGAACGACCTGACTGCCTCCAAGGATGAGAGAGAAAAGCTGCTCAAGGTGCTGGAGACTGTCAAGGAGAACTGTGAGAGACAAGTGAGAGAGCTGGAGAGAGAGAATGAGCAGCTGTCCCAGGCCTTGTGTAAATTACAGGAGAGGAGTGAGCAGACAAGTGATGTCAAGGTGTGTTGTCTCCAATGTAGTTATCTCCAAATTTTGTTTTCATCAACTCTTTGAGTGCATTAATAACTATTTGTTATATTTCCTGTGTTATTAATTTCTATTGCTTCCCCCTTGCAGTTATATTGTTATTGATTAGTAAAAGCTTTACATCAAATATAATAATTGATTGACTGCATTCAACAAAAGGAAATCTCTAAATACTTTTTTAACTGTGATCCGATACTTGTTAAACTTCTTTTTGTCTTGTTTTCTGATGAAGGCTCTAAGCGGAAACGTCAAAATCTTTTGTCCTGTCAATGAATTCAAGTCTAGCATACCTTGTTCTTAGATTTCTTTATATTAAAATATGGAAGTTTTTTTTTAAATTGGCATAATATTTGATAAAACTGAATGGAAGCTTTCATTAGTTGTAATCTTTCCATCACAAATTCGTTTGCTCAAGCACTAGTTTGATTAAATATTAATGTTTTACATTTTCTCTCATATTTCTGCATCTGATCATTATTATAATATATTTTTGTGACATTTGTGTGTATTATGAAGAGAATAGTTTTTTTTGATGATGCATCACAATAACATTCATTGAAAAATTGTCGGTCAAAGACAACCACAATCTTACATCAGGACTTTAACTTTTTGAACTGCTGTTGCTAGGTCATCAGAAGTTAAGTTTTAACTGTTGTTGTTAGGTCTTTTGTTAACAGTTGAACTGTTGTAGGCAGGTCATCAAAAGTTAACCGTTTGAACTGTTGTTGTCGTCAGGTCAAAGATCTGGAAAGAGAGAACAAGCGTCTCCATGAAGTGGTCACCACCAAGAACTCCCAGCTGAGTAAACTGGAGTTTGACTACAGGCAACTCCATCGATCTGGTCAACAGTTGCAGGAGGGCACGCAGAGACTCAAGGAGCTGGAAGTTGAGAACCAGTCACTGGAGAAGGAGAATGTTGAGCTACATCAAAAAGTGAGGGCTTTGAGCAGTTCTAATGTCATGGGGGGAGGGGGCAAGAGTACAGGTTCTAATGTAATGAGGAGGGGGCTGTAGGACACTGAATAAGTTCAAACATAAAAATATTACGAGATTGCTCATTCACAATCTTTATTTTACAAATTCTTTCTGTATTTGTGCTTGCTAACCTATATGAAAGGCTTTATAAACAAATTAAATTATGCAATCTGAGCATGTTGTGCATTAAACAAAGGAAACATTGCTAAAGTTGGTCCATTTGTGAAGAACTATCTCTGGATAAAATCCTATGATCAAAATGTTTTATAGCTGATTTGGAATTCCTACTTCAATTGTTTAGTGCAACAAATCCCATTAATGTTCCCCACCAGGTGGCTACATTGCAACATTTGGAAGAAAAGGTCGACCTGATCGAGCAAGAAAACTCTGACCTTGGCGTGGAAAATCGCAAGTTGCAGAAAATGGTGGAAACTCTGCAAGTGACTACACAGAGAAGGGAGCAGCTGGAACAAGATCATATTTCCCTTACACTCGAGCACCAGCGGCTGCAGGTAGATTCACTTGACAAGATATCCACTGATTTAAAAAAAAAAAATTATTTTAATTCAATTTCTTACACAAAATATATTCATTAATTTAGTTCAAACTATATCACTACATGTTTGAAGTCTATGGGAAATTCATGGTGCAGAAAATAATTATAACATGATTTGAGAAGGGAAAATCGGTTAAATATATGGCACATTGAATTCATTTTATTTTCACTAGAGGACACTGGAGTCCTTTAAGTCAGAGTCTGACAGAGCTCTTGAGCTGGAGGCAGAGAAGGAGGAGCTCAACAGAGAGCTGCAGCAGTTGAGGAAGTCCTTGGAGGGCCAGAAGACACAGAAACTCAGACAGGAGCAGATGGAATTTGACCTCATTGACACAGGCAATGAGAACCAGGTAATTTTACTTCTGGTGCCACTTTAATTTCTCAATCCCTTTAGAGTTAATCTGACAACACACTAATTTCTAAATCCCCTTACTGTTATTCTGACAACACACTAATTTCTAAATCCCCTTACTGTTATTTTACCAGCAACAGTTGGCTGCTATTGGATAGCTCTCAGCCAATTTATTTTGTTCTTTTATAACAAGAGAAAAAATTACTTTGACAGGAACAATGTCCCCATATTTCTTAATTATTTTTTTAATTAATTAAATATCTTTGCTTGTTGCATCTGATAGCCAACCAAAACCTCTCTCATTAATTTCAAACTCCTTGCTAGTGAGTTTTAAATTGTTCACATAGAAAAGTTTTCCTTAGTACTGATGCCTCAATAATTTTATTTCTAACACAACATAACCGTGTTATGCAAGCCTAAAAATAACAGATTCCAAGAACATGATTTCTCCTAATGGCAACCTCTGATAACACAAGAATATAGTTTCTTAAAATCTTTTTGTAAAAATTGTATCACTAAAGATTTTCAAGCAAGGGTCATTTTAAAAATATTTTTTTTTCAACCCCCTCATTCCATCATGGTCACTTCCTCAAAGGAATTTTGAATCATTAAATTGCTTTTGTAGTTGATAAAATGTCTCAAAGTAAAGGCCTATGGAAAAAGACCATAAAATAGGGTGAAAACTGAAAGCTAATGAATCGACCATGATTATGATCACAGCGTCTACTCAAGAGTCTTGAGGTGACCACACGACGACTGCAAACTCTGGAGAAAGACAACATGGACATGGAGACAGAAAATGAGAGGCTCACTAAAGAAATAGAGGCTCTGAAGGTGACATCCAAGAAGTTGGAGGACAAAGAGAAAGAGGCATCTCAGCTGGAGGTCGAGGTGCAACGTCTGCAAAAAGACAAGACCACATTGGAAAAAGAGAACAGGTGAGAGACTATGTCTCATGTCAAAGCAGAATATGCAGCGTGTAGCTTTTGGTGTTTGTTACATTGTACTGAAATTGAGGCCACAAACTTTAAGTAATAAAGAATTTTTTTTTAGAGATTGCAAAAACAGCTTCAGTACAGTAAAGTTGGTATTGATACAAAGAAAATTATAGGTTTTTATAAAGATTCCAAAATGTTATTTTTATAAAATGTGCTATTTGTTAATAACATGCAAGGAATTTTTTTTTTTTTTTTTAATTTCTGAACCGTTTTGCTACAAAAGGTTTTTCAATGAAAAAAAAAATCATCTTATGCCTCTGACCTTTCAACTTTCACCCTATGAAATTTTATCATCAGTTGTAAAAAAAAAAAAATTCCCTTAAGGATTATTGACCAGATTTTTCATTGCTGATTCTGATGATGGCTACCGATTTCTGCTATGCTTATTAGGTTATTGTTCTTATGGTGTTTGAGACCAAGCATTTGCACCACTGCCATGATGTAAACCATATAACTCAACAGTGCTTTGCCCTTTAAAGAATTTAAAAAAATGTGTACATTTAAATAGAAATAAATGCTCTGTAGATCAGCTCAATTTTTAACTCATCTCTACAGGAAGCTGAAGCAGAGTGGGGAATTTAAGGACTCGACTATGGAAGAGATGAATGTAAAGTTTACCTCCCTTGAGCAAGAGAACAAGACTTTGAAGAAGACTGTGGACAAGATGAAAGATACTTGCAACAAGGTCAAGGACTTGGAGAAAGAGAACAACGAGCTGCTCCATGATCTCAACACAGACAGGAGGACATTGGCCGCACTTAGAGAGGTCAGCATAATTTAAGCCAGTCATTGGGCACAATTAGAGTGGTCAGCATAATTTAAGCCAATCATTGGGAACATTTAGAGAAGTCATCATAATTTAAGCCAATCATTGTGTACGCTTAAGAGAAGTCAGCATAATTTAAGCAAATCATTGGGTGCACATGCTTCTGATTGATGAATCCTCAAGAACTTTAATATTTTAAAATTTATATTGCTAAATTCAATATCTAAAAATGACATTGATTCTGTTCAATTAAATAGTTTGTCTGATATGAACTAAGTTCTTAGTAAACAATTTATTTTGTGATTATATTCATCTATTGAATTGATATTCATCAAACACAAGAATGATTTTACATTTTTTTTTATATTGCTCCACAGGACCTAATCCATGAGAAAATTCACTCCCAAGAACTCAGCAACGAACTTGACCAGCTGACCACCGAGCTAGAGAAAGTTGGCATCAATACAGATAAACTGACCATGGTAGAGCAGACCAACGATGCCAAGTCAGTGGATTTGTTTACTCATCGCTTAGTGTACACATGTAGACATAATGTGTTCACATGCAGACATGTGTTCACATGCAGACATGTGTACACATGTAGACATAATGTATACACATGACCAAATCTGTACACATGTAGACATAAAGTCAGTGTGTGTGTGAATGAATTACTGAAGGCTCTAATGTAGTACTAACGCCAGCGTACTGATTACTTTATATTCAATGGCCTTAATTTAACATGTAGCTACACTAAACAAATACCAATTTTAAAAGACTTTATTTGCTGCACATGTAAACAGTTTCTGATTTGTGTCTTGAATGTTATGCAGACCACCGTTCATGGACCGGCACTGGTCCGTGAACCTTATGTTGCCTGTCCGCACAACATGGTCAAATAAAAAATATAATAAATAAATCTGGCACCGGTCCCTGGTTCATTTTCTAACATTTTCCACTGGTCCGCCGAACTTAAAATTTTGGAAACGCTGGTGCAGACAGTTCCTGGTGCCGCTAGAGATTTTGGTTATCTTCTGAGTATAAGTGTTATAGTCATTGTGCATGGTACAGAGTTAAACCGATTATCATTATCATCAATATCAGCATATTAATATCAAGATTGTCACCATCATCATCAGGCTTGTTAAAGGAGATTTTATACATCATTGGAGTTCAATATTTGTGGGAAGTAATTAACACTTTGAATGAAATTTGTTTCAAATTAAATTTGTTGTGCTGGCACATCATGTTGTTTTCTATGGCCCTTGTAGTTGATAAATTTAACTACTGCTGGTGCCAATGGTTTTATTATTCAAATAAATTTCTGTCGACCTTCAGCCGCTACAAGGCATTAGAGACAATGATTGAGGAGACCCTGAAGAAAAGCAGCGAGCTAAAGGATGAGAAGATCAGGGCCCTTGAGATCAGGCTGGACGAGTCCAAGAACAGAAACCTGAAACTCCAGGATGATTTGAGGTCGACCAAGATGGAGACAGAGACGCTGAAACAGAGGCTTGAGGAGGAGTTGGATGAGAAGGACGGTGTGGATGGAAGGGTTGTGGAGAGGTGAGGATTTTCATTTAAAATTGAGACATGATCAGACATGACCTTCTATTTAATCTCAATTGCAGTCTGGAAATTTCATACATGTCCAGGAAAAAATGGAAACCCTTTTGATAATGATGAAAACTAGTGGTAAAAAGGTATCAATTTTTGAAGTTCCAAAAACTTATTTTTATTTCTAACATATCAGGGACCATTTCCGCTTAGCATGTCAGGACTGAAATAAGTTGAATTTTTATAATTAATGAATATTCAACTGTGTTTTTCATCATTATCAAACGAACTCCCTATGCTTCCAAACACATGTAATAATGTTGGATGTGGATATTTGAATATTATCAGTACACACTGAGTAGGATGTAGCTTTTTTGGACTCAAGTTGCTTTAAATTTTGAAACATTTTTTTATACATCAGACGAAGATGAAAGACTATTCCAATAGGAGTTAGTTGATTATTTTTTTCAGTTCTTTCATTTCTAAAATGATTAGTACAATGATTAGTTTGAACATGAGCAGTCCAACAGATCATCTCCAACATGAATTTTTATTAAATGATTAAGCTTACAAATGTGGTTTAGCTTCAAGACAAAAAAATTTTTTTTTTGATTTTGCTGACACTGATCCAACTTGCATTCACAAATATTTTTTTTGTATGGCATTCTGGTTCTTGTAGCCATTCGTTGCAACAAACATAAATTAAAATCAATTATCCTTATATATACACTGCACATCCCTTCCTCACACCCCTAATACTGGGATCATATGGCTTAACCCCTGACCTCTATATCAACATTGCTAAATTAATATTTGTTTATCTTTGTGTAACTTGACAGCTATGTGAAGTCCTCCAACCCAACCAAGGAAATTTTCCAGCTAAAAGACCACCTCGTTGAACTGGAGCGCAGTGTAAGTCATTTACAACATGGTGAAAGGTTTTTTTTGTTCTTTTGTTTTTTTGTTTGTTTTTTTGTTTGTCTCTTTAATGATAACATTAATCAAGGAAGATTGGGTTGGACATTCTATCAAATTATTTCCTGCAGAATGCCAGGCTCATGGCAGAGGCAGAAAACCTGCGCAGTAATAACACAGGCCTGGGCGAGCACTGTCGTAAAATGGAGAACCAGTTGTCAAACCTTCAGTCCCAACATGCCACACTTCAGGGCTACTACTCTAGCCTCCAGGAGCAAAATGCTAAACTTCAAGTAAGTCTTCTCCCTTGTTATAAATTACAGGATTACCAAGTCTTATCCCTTGTTATAAATTAATGGATCACCAGGTCTTGTCCCTTGTTATAAATTATAGGATCAGCTAGTCTTGCCATAAGTTAGAAACTTTTCATGTGGGATATTCCTTTTTTTTTTTTTTTTTCTTTTTTTTAAACTTTGTGACAACTTTGCCTTCCATGCCGTTTTAGGTTATCTTCCCATTGAAAAGAGAAAAAAAAAATCAAAACATGGCATACATTTTTTTTTTTTTTGATTTTTTTTTATTTATTTTTTTTTTTTTTTTTTTTTTTTTTTAAACTGTGTGACAACTGTGCCATCCATGCCGTTTTAGGATATTTTTCCATTGAAAAGAGAAAAAAATAATTATAACATTTTATTTATTTTTTTTTTTTATGATTTTTTTTTATGTCAACTTTTTTAATTTATTTTTTTTATTTTTGTTTTTAAATAATTTATAAAAGGTTTTTGTATGTTGAAATATTCTGAGGATCATTAACAGTCACATGATGTTGTTGACCTCGCAGGTTGAGTACAGCACCCTGCAGTCCCAGGCATCCTCCACCCTGTCCCAGCAGGACATCCTCAAGAGCCAGATGTCACGACTGGAGTCTGACTACGAGATCCTGGCCCACAAGCACGAAGGCTTGCAGAGCACCCACCAGTCCTTGATCTCTGATCATGAGTCTCTGCAGCATCTCCACCAGCAGCTCACCTCAGAGTACGAGTCCCTGGTGTCAGAGCACGGATCTCTGAAATCCATTCACAAATCCCTCAAGTCTGAGTACAAAGCCCTGTCTGAGCAGTGTGATGCCGTGATGCAGGTGAGAGAGACACCATTTTGTTTTCTCAAAGAAAGGACTCGATAGTCAACTTAAGACTAGACCTGGAAAGCAGTGGCTTTTTTTTTTTTTTTTTTTAAATTAAGGTTTAAAAAAGTGATGCCGTGATGCAGGTGAGAGAGACACCATTTTGTTTTCTCAAAGAAAGGACTCGATAGTCAACTTAAGACTAGACCTGGAAAGCAGTGGCTTTTTTTTTTTTTTTTTTTTTAAATCAAGGTTTAAAAAAGACTTACTTGAATCTACTTGTTTATGAGAAGCATGTCTGGGAATTTTGTTAATCAGTTTTAAAAGTCAAATTCTTTGTATATCTTTGTATAGCTTTTGCTGCCCGTTAAAATTCAGTTATTTTATCTTGGTCTATATACTAAATACTGTATTTTACGGACTATAAGACGCACCTTAATTTTTAAGCAATTTTTTTTTTAATAACATTTTTACCATTTTTATTTTGATTTCAAGTATAAGACGCACCTGAATTTTGGAGGCAATTTTTCGAAGAAAAAAGTGCGTCTTACAGTCCATAAAATACGGTATATGTTTTTTAAACAAAGTAACTGCGTTTCCGGCACAGAATTTGACAATGGCTGTATTCTTCAGGGTAAAGATGATGTCAATAAACTACGTGAGATGATGGAGAAGGAGAGAGACAAGCTGCAGAGGGAGCTCCTGGCCGTGGGGAATCTCCAATCAGATTACAACCGCCTGCGAGATGACCACCAGCAGCAGCGGGCAGCTTATGACAAACTGAGCCATGATTACAGCGATGTACTGGGATCTCACAAGCAGGTGACTTTAATGTTTATTTTTTTTAGATAAATAAAATTGTTTTCAAGATAAAGAAGTTCTCAGCCTGCATTGTTTTTTCTTTGTTCAATAAAGTTTTTGTCTTTTTTATTTTCCTTCAATTACAAAGATAAAAACAGATTACAACAACTTACAGTTGAAAAACACTGAACTTCAAGGGGAGTTAAATGAGGCCAAAGAAAACATGTCTGTGGCTGATATGGAATTCCAGAAATTAGAAAACAGGATGGATGTAAGTTATAGCAATTTTTTACATTTTAAAATGTATTCCTCATATTTAAATGTGTCAGCATTTGTCCTGTGATAGACTTAGAATCTGTTAAAGCAACATCATGAGTGGACTAACCCATCAAACTCAATGGATGAAGTTGAATACTTTGTCACATGGAAACTCAATATCTACACTTGCTTCAGAAACTCTTTTAAAATTTTGAACCAAAATTGAAAAAAAAAAATACATTTAATTGTTTTAACATTAACAAATGTTATATTCAGAAATACTATAAAATTTGTTCAACTGATATTGCTCTGCGTGTATATGTTTTTTTTAAAAAGAATTTCCTTTTAGTATCTTAAAATATAAACTACTATCCATGAATAATATTTGTACTGTACAGACCATTTATCAAATCAATGAGAGGATTGAGAATGAGAACCAGGCTCTCTTGATGCAAATACAGCAACTGCTGAACCAGAACCATGACCTGCTCACCAAGGCGCTCAACAGTAAGGATCACTTTGCAGAAGAGGAGAAAGCATACTTGTAAGTAAACACAACAAAATGTCGTATTGAACACTAATGAAAACAAATTGCTTAAAGGTTGACAAATTTTCTTAGAGGCTGCTTGCACCTGAGGCTCCTCAGGAAGAAGTGGAAAATGAAAAGCGCTTCAATTTCAGGATAATCAACATTTAGCCATTCCAAATATTGCCATCAGGCAACATAAGCCTGCATGAGTGCTTAATTAAAGAGTTATAAAACATTGTCCCCTGGAATAAATCTTACTTGAGATATGTCACCGTCTTGTAATGCACAAAATATGTGTCTGCTTAATAAGTCAGGTTGGTACTGCTGACAGTGAAAACAGGAGAAAGTTTATGTGAGTTGTTTGTTTGCTTGTACCCCCAGAGAAAAACTGTCTGAACTACGAAGGCAGAAGGAACGTTTGGAGGAGAAAATCATGGAACACTACAAGAACAGAATCTCTCCTAAAAAGTTGGTAAACTTTTCTAGAGATGAAAATAGTAATTTTTTACATTGTCTTAATGTTTGACTTCAGGGTTGTATTAGCAGTTTTCAACCATTATTATGCTAGGACATATTTAATTACTGAAAATTATGGGACAGACCATTCAACTATGAACAAAATAACTGGCAGTTTCTGTGAGGAAACAAGTGGTATTTAAATGAGATTAGATGGCTTATTTCATTTGTCCTGAATTATTTTGCTAGTAAAATTCCAAAATTTTTATCACACCAATTTTTTTGACCCACCTCTTAACCTTATGGTCCACACCAGACATTCTTGTTGAAAATTACTGGATTAGATTACACATCAGAAAAATACCAAATTTTAAATGCAGGACTTGTTAGACAGGAAATAAGCTTCTTTCACATGTGATTAAGTTAAAGAGTCAATGTTTTTTTTAAAAATATATTTTTACTGACTTTGTCCTATCATATTCTACTTTATTTATTTCAGGAAAGGTCTTGGTGCTCTGATAGCTCGTAAAGCTCGAGGTATTATATCCAGAGTAAGTCAGATGTATTGTTTCTTTACTAGTCAAAATAGAATGTCCTTTATAGTGTAAAACCCTGCCATATTTTTTTTGGTTGTTACTTTTTGAACAGTTTTCTGAGTTTTAAAAATTAAGTACATTTTCATTTCTCATTTTCAAATCATACTTCATGGTTTTCTGAGGCAATTTTTAATATGTGGTGTGGTGAAGAGAAGAAGGGATTTTTTGGGACTTTATTTACATTTTAAATTTATAGCATATATCTAACATATATATATATTTATATATATAAATATACATACATATATATATATATATACATATATATATATATTATATATAACATATATTTTTTTATATATATATTTTTTTTTTTTTGCCTTCGTGATGGAATGCATTGGTTCAATGTTCATTTAACATTCTAAACAGGGACCAAGACGTTCTAAGAGTAGAAATAATCTAAGTGACATGACCGACACCTCTGGACATGAATCTGACCAACCAAGTGATGCAGGCAGAAGACTTGGTGAGTGGTCTTATTGTTGTACTTCACATCGGAATGAATTTTTAACTTCACACACATATATATATAATAGTCCTAGTTTTTTTTTTTAATTTTAAAATCTCAGATTGAAGCAGCAAGAGGTCAAATTTTATTTTCCCTATTAGCTCGCAGAGTCTGTCTATTAGGTGTGTGTTTGTATCAATGTCTTTTTGAGTTAAAATTGCTAAAGCTTCCTAAATGTAAGCTGAAATATATTAGACCTTTATATTGTTCAGCTTTTAGTCCTGTTCATATTATGCAACATATTTATGTCACATTAAAATTTATAAAATATTAATGCTAATTATAAAACTTCAGTTTTAGTTGTTTTTATTTATTTGCAATCTCAATTTGATGCAGTTTTTTTATATTTTTGTCCCGATTAGTTTTTAAAATGCAATTCTTGCATTCAATATAAAATCTGATTGCGTGAAAATGTAGGGATCCAGTACTGCCTGGATGTTCACAGGAGATGTCTTGGCAGATTATTGTCTATTTATCATTTATATATTTAAAAAAAAAAACAAATTGTGTTTCAACATTAAAAAAAAATTACATTTTAAAATCCCAACATTCTTCATTCTCATTAAATTGCTGAACATCAAATTTTTTTTTAAATGTTCAAATTAACACTGGCCTTTTGAGAATATCCTTGAGGTTATCTCCTTATCTACCCTTTATATCAAAGTAAAAAAAAACTTACCTGGATTCATTTTTGAAACTCTGATGTAGTTCTTCTCTCAGGTTTAAAACTATACTAGATCAAGCCATTACTTGTAGACGAATGCTTGGTAGAAAGGAGAATTTTTGTGTGTAAAGCCCGTTTTACAGAATATCTTTATAGCACATACTGTGCAGAAGTTTGGGTTATAATTTGTTGCAGTAGTTAGAATGGTATTTTATTTAGAATGTAGTGCTAGTGGTGGCCCCAACCCTTGCTGTGCTATGATCTAACTGTGACATTTGTTACATCTCTAGATGATATTATAAGTCTACTGTCTCTCAGCTCAGCTTCTACAATAGGTTGGTTGCATTTATCACACCATTTTTACAAATGGCTTGGGAATTTATTTTTTTAACCAATCCTTTTTACATTTCAAGGATTTTTACATCATCAGTTTTGAGAGTTCCAGTTCTGTTGATCAGTTTATTTTTTTCAAGATTATCTTCGTTGATCTAGTCATTTAAATGAAGTGATGATTAAACATTTCAATTTTTAAAATGATTAAAATCAAAGAACGAGATACACTATCTAAATTAAATTTGAAACACATATTATTAAAGTTTAAAATTTTGCATGGAATTTAGTTTGATCACTGAAGATAATTTTTTTTTTTTTTTACTTGTTGTTACGAACCCGATATTACAAAGTTCGATAGCTTTGTTTTCTATGGTTAACAATTACTGAACAAACCATTGAATTCATAGATTAAATGTCTCTTTATTAACTGTACAACTCTATTACTAAACTACATTGTCAACACCATTCCTGATACTGCTGACATTACTAAACCACAACAAATTACACAATAATATATTATTTCCCCTTACAAAAAATACATCACAATATACCAAGTATATTATAGCAACACCTACCCAAATACTCTGGGAACCAACATGCAATCACAAAATACATACAAGTCCTTAACAAGGTGAAAATTGCAGTTTTCTTTGTTTTTTTAATTATATAAGTTTAAAATCATTGCCTGTCCCTGCTTCAACAGATGGCCAAATAGAACATAATCAGGATATGCAGTTTGTAGAGAGCCCCAAACTTTCCCTACAGAACAAATTATTGGCCAAATCTCAATCAGCCCTCAGTTCTCCTATTTTGGAAAACACCAAGCCTTGCAGGCTTAGAGGTAGCCCCCATGTGGCATACTCACTTGCCTGTTCTACTTGTCTCTATAAAGTGGCATGCTCACTATTCTGTTCTACCTTGTATGTGTCTATATAATGTGGCATGATGGATGCTTTCAAATTTTCACAGGATTTTCAAATATTGAATCACAAATTAGACAATGGGACAATTTACCAAATTTTGGGATTCAAGATAAACTAATAAAACCAACCAAAAATATTTATGTTTAACTTTACAACATGCATTTTGGTTAGTTCCCTTTTCTTTGTGTTTTAAAATAATGCTCTTTTGTTGTTTTTTTTTTTCTTTTTTTTTTTTAAATTTTTGGTTACAAACGCCATCTGAGTAAAAGAAGCACACAATTACATTAGATAACAAGATTTAGTTTTGTTATTTTTGTTAGTTTTTTTTTTTTTGTGTTTTAAAATAATGCTCTTTTGTTGTTTTTTTTTTCTTTTTTTTTTTTAAATTTTTGGTTACAAACGCCATCTGAGTAAAAGAAGCACACAATTACATTAGATAACAAGATTTAGTTTTGTTAGTATATTAAATGCATAGTGTACCAACACAGTGAGGTGATCGAAATTAAAGGGCTAAAAAAGAAGAAGAGATATTTTAAAACTAAATAATTTTGTAAATTGTAAAACAGTATGTTTGAATCTTGAATTCATTTAAATGAATTTTATTGAAATGTCAGCTTTAAAAAAAAATTAATAAAAATTGAATTGTTTATATTTTGGTTACAACCAGTTTTACACATGTATTATTTTGTTGGAGCATGATCATCAGAAATGTTGTGATTTGCATGATTTTTTTTTATGACCCAAATGGGTCTATGTAATGCCCTCAGTTCAATACAAGATTCTATTGTGTCAGCATATGTTATCTTTCTTATAGCAGAAGTTTTCTTATTTGAAAGCCTAAGCCTAAGACAAACAATTATCCAGTGTTCTCTAACTGCATGAATTGTATAAATGCATGCAATATCCGACAATGTGCTCCAATGCAGAGTTGTTTATTTGTCTTCATCTTTTGAAACAAGTAATTTAATTTTTTTTTAAATAAATTTTCTTTTGTTCTCTTAAAGAAAAAAACAATAAAAAAACATTATTCATATATTGCTATGTTAAAAATGTATTATATATTAATATAAGATGTGACCTTTGATCTTATCTTGTCGGTTTGCTGCTGCAGTTATTAATAATTATTTAACTGTTAATTGCTAATATATGTATATCTTAGTGATTAATTTTTAAAAAGTAACACACTTTTCCTTTTGATCAGTTTGGTTAGCATAAAGCTGATTCAACTATATATTTACACTAACAGAGTCTAAGAAGAGAGATGTGTTCTCATGTCAGTAGTTCCTTTTGTGAGCTAAAATTTTGTTTGATTTTGCAGGAGCCAAGTCAACTGAAGATTTGAATGATTCCAACAATACTGACTACAGTTTTCTTCCAGGTATAAAATAGTAATTCTCCAGTGGTGTTTGATCAGAGTAGTTGTTTCATTGATTTTCGGACAGTTGTGTTATATATATATATTTTTAAAAAAAATAAATCTGAATTAAGTCTTTTCATCTGATCTCTTTTAAATTCTTTCTCATGTACTAAACGAAATGTATTTTTAAATCACAATGTAAATATCTTTTGTAAAAAAAAAATTTTTTTTTTTTAACTTCAAAAATTACAAAACTGAGATAAAAATTTATAGTAACCACATTCAATCTTAGTTTTTCTTTTTTATGTTTCATGTTTCCATTGTAAAGGCCTTGGAAGACCATATGTCCTTGACGACAGTGATCCTATAAGTCGGAGGTCCACGACTCCAGGGCTTGGCCGAAGATTGCCTGGCAGTGCTTCACCGGGCAGTGAAATGTTGACATTGGACCAGTTTCTGAAAGAGGCCAACAGCTCAGACATTGGCAACATGACGGCCACCAACAGGGCAACAGATGAGGTTTGTCTTCAGAATGAACAACTGATTTTTGGGCCATACTTCACTCATGTGTGTCGTGCATCACTCATGCATAGCAATTACTCTCAGCCTGGCATTGGGAATAATCGTACCTGATTAAAGCTTTCAAGATTGCATGTTGAAATTATGGTTGCACTGACTAATCAGCAGATAAATTTGCAATTTATTGGTAATCGTTCCATTTGTACCAATTAATTGGTCATCGCCTGCATTGCTAATCCGTGCAACCCCAGTTAATATTTTATCTTGCTTTCAGTACTGTATCAGAACAATAAAACGTTTTAATAGTTAAGTCCACACATTTACCCAACTGTAAATAAAATATCGGCATCTTCAGTGATGTACAACTTCCAGTATTATTATTTTTTATATTAATCCATCATGTGTTTCATTTTTCCATAATTTTTTTAAAACATGCTAAAATGATGATAAATACCATTATTTACTTCCATTACATTTATTTGTACTAAATTCCTTGGTCATGCGTGTTAATTTTAGCAGAATACCATTTTGTCATGACACACAGGTTAAAAAGCATATCTCACTGTAGAGTGTAGCAGTATTTTAATGTGATTTAGGTTCTGTTAAAGAGAGCCTAATTTGTGTTCATAAATGAACAAATCTGAAAGATGTGTTTAAATAGCACAGGTAAGTTTTCATGAATTGCATCAAATTAAAATGTGGCTTTGTTCCTATCCTAGCAGAGGCACAAGGACTTCATCCAGCGTCAGAGAAGTCATGACAGTGAGTCAAGGAGCAGTGACAATTCTAACTCCAGCTTCAGCAAAGTGCAGCTGCGACACTCACAAGGAAGAGGTGGCGTGTCGCAGTTCAGACCGGACGTACCTGATGTTGCAGTTTCCACGCTTGCGCCTTACAGCTCCTCACGGGAACTCAACAGCTCTCTCTTGTCCCGACTGTCAGCAGGGAGTGGAAATGAGGACAGCAGTTTCAACTCCAACGGACCACTGCCTTGTGATGTCTTCTCATCCACTCCTAAAACTAAACCTGAATTAGATGGTTTTTCTGTGATAGCTTCTGGCAACTTGAATGGCAACAACTCCAGTGTGCAGCATGGAGGTGAACGTTCAAATGATGATATCAGTCGAAAAAGTTTGTCAGGGGATGACTGGCAGAACTCCAGCCTGAAATCATCACCCTACTCAACTTTCGGACGGCTGAACAATGTTTCATCATCATCCTCGCCAAGATTGTCTGGGTCACACTCCTCATCTTCCTCATCCTCGAAGCAGCCCCCGCCATCCAACCATTCTTCCAGCCATCCATCCAACCACATCCAGGTGTCAGACCAACCACGTGCCCTCACAAATAGAGTCAGAGAGCTCCCACCGGTGCCCACCGAACAGATGGCAGCAGTTGAACGTCTTGACAGGCTTGCCAGGCGAGACCAGTCCCCGTCACATTATGCTCAGCCAGTAACAACAGGAAAGTTATCCATGGACAATGATAGATCCAGAGACAATCATCCCATCTCTCGAGAAGCTGAAAGAAATATTGTTAATTCAGAGAGACGAAGGTCACAAGAGACCCCTGAGCGGCCCCACTGGTCTTCTAACCAGGTGCCGCCTCCGATCCCTCGATCTCACCCAGGAAGGGTGTCCAACAGTCAACAGCAGAACCTGGACAACTCTGTTATCAGTGGACACCATCCGCCGTCTAATCCCATCCTGATGCAGGCTGGTCCCCAACTGCGTACACGTCCAGCAAGTGCCATGGGTCCAGGGCCCATCATCAAAGGGGTGTACTCCCGACCTCAGGGTGAGGGAAGACCGAGGCAGCAACAGCAAGGGGTTGCCCCTAGTCAGCTAGTCAGGAGAGACACGTCAGGTGGGAGGTCACAAGGTGATCATAGCTCAAGCAGCCATTACAGCCAACCGCATGTCACAGAAAGACCAAAGTCTGTCCCACCGCAATTGTTCAATAAAACTGATTCACCAGTGGCCAGGGATGGTAGAGACACAAAAAACAGAGACATGATAAGGGAGGCACCAGATGGTGGTAGGGACATCAAAGATCCTATCTATCAACCAGTCTCAAATGTGTCCCTCCTCAGAGAGCCAAGTAGGTCAAGCTCACGACTCGGCACTCCATTAGACTCTCAGCTTTCGAGGCCTGTACCAATGCAGCAGCCATCTCCAAGTGCCCAATCATTCCAGCCAAAAATCTCCCATCAGCAGAATTATGCTGGCCAGGTTTCTTTTAACGGCAGTCGACAAAACCTCCCTGCTCCTCAACAAGCCATCAGTCAGTCAGAACCTGGTCGTTTGTCTAAGAACTTGGTTTCACTTTATGATTCTAACAACATCCCACCAGGATACAAGTCTAGCACCCTGGGACACCAGTCCTCTTCTCCCAGGCCTGATGCTTTGCCCTTAGCACCAGGCCAGCCACAGAATAGATCCAGTTTCAACTCTGGTATGAATAGTCCACTTGCTGGTGCCTCATCCACAGTGTTCCAGGCTCAGTCCAGCATTGGGAGCCCAACCATCAGCTCACCCTCCTCAACACTCCCACCAGACGCAACATACGGTAGGAATGTGGCATCCCATCAGTCCAGGTACGACACTCAGCCAGATCAAATCCGCAGAGACGGTCATCAACGGGACGCTCATTTCACGGGCAGTGGTCACCCCCCTGGAACAATCCCGGCAACCCACCAAGGAAGTGGGAGCCATGACTCCATGGTGGACTCGAGACTGTATCGGACATCTAGTGAGTCTAGAGACAATTTATCTCTACCTCAGCACCGGGGTTATATGCCACCACAGTCCCAACAACGGGGTTCAGATGGCTACCTGCCACCACAGTCCCAACAACGGGGTTCAGATGGCTACCTGCCACCACAGTCCCAACAACGGGGTTCAGATGGCTACCTGCCACCACAGTCCCAACACCGAGGGTCAGATGACAGCTATTATAGTAACTCACAATCTCCTAACCCCCCTTTACTTGGACGCAGCATCTCTCAAGGACAGTTCCCATTGTCACAAAGAACCCCTGTGGGTCCATCAAAGCCAGATCATCTGGCTAATGGACCCCCTGCCCCATCCAAGGACCCCCTACATTTTAACTCACACCATCAGTCAGTTTCACCACAGATTCGATCACAAAGTAAACCACCTACCAGCATACACCACAACAATGTCTCATCAACCAGCAGACAGATGTCAGCACCTTCAACCCTCAGGTCCACAGGAGACCTATCAACGCCTGACCGAAATCTTTCTCCACCCGAGACAACCACCACCCAAGTGACCCCACCTCAGCTGAAATCCACAACAAATGCTCCTCAAAAATCAGAGAAAGAGGGCGAAGGGGGACAACCCAACCACACAAATTCCATTTGGTACGAGTATGGCTGTGTTTAAGAAAATATTCACTTACAAAACCTTTTTATGACAAGCTTAATTGTATATACTTATAAATAACACTGAAAACATACTGGCTGAAAAATGAAATATATTTTTAACACTGGGAATAAATTCAGTGCAATGTGACATTAAGATTGCTCCAGCCCGCTGGTTAAAATGAATTGAGGCATCTATTCTTTAAAAGTTTCAAGGGGTTAATACCCAGTACTTAAAATGAAGTTGAAGCAAATTTTAAGGCATCTCAAAACAGCATGAAATAGCTCTCCTTTGAAAAATCTTACTTTTGACTTAGGACCTAATGATGACAACCCCCCCCCCCCCCCCCCCCCCCCCTTTTTTTTTTTNCCCCCCCCCCCCTTCCCAATTTTTTTTTCCTTCAAGAAACATTACAAAATTTGAAAGAATTCAGCTTTTTAAATTTTTCTTTTTAAAGTGAACAATTTTAAATTTCATCAACTTGCTTGTGAGATCATACATATCTTGTAAATATATATATAGAGAGAGTACACAACTAAACTGATAAGGCATTTTTCTGAGACATTCCATCTGGGCAATAAGTCAGTATTTCCTGTAAACTGGTGACTCGGTATAACCCGGCCCTTGAGGCCCAAAATTTTTTTATCCATTTACAGATGTCCCTTTATGACCTAATCCACATTAGGTCCTGACAATGTTTTCCACCTTTTGAATTAAAGATAATCAAGTCACCAGGGTACTGTATGTGTTTTACTATGTAGCTTAACATCGAGGGCCACTTGCTATCCAGAAGCAAGTGTATTTATTTCTAATTTACAATGGTACATACATACTACATGTATTTATATATACATTCAATGCCTTCCTATTCTTTACTTATACAACCAGATCAAATCATTGAGATCGATATCATCATTAATTTAACTCTCATATTTTTAATTATTCCTGTGATTTAACTATGATTTATCCTATATTACTAGGGAAAATTATTTAACAAAAGCTTTTATTGACCACCGGAAACATTTAAATTTGTTCTAGTATAATAAATATTTTAAATAATTTGATTTTGCTATAGATGGAACTAAATTCCCAGCCATTTCTAATGTTTAATTGTTCAAACTCAAGTGGTAAACAGACATCAATTTCAAATCATTGTCAATCAAAACATTATTTGGATTAAAAGAAACAACAATATCTATTTAAAATTGTGTTTCCTTTGTCAGTATGTTTGACATGTAATTGTGTCACTATTTATTGAAAATTTTTAATGCATTGAATTATTTGTTACAATTGGTTTTCTTTTTTTGTAAGTGCAGTTGAATCAATGAAATTTTTTTTTTTTTTACAATTATTAAAGCTAGGTTTTAGTAACAATACTATTTGATCATTCCACTCAATAATTTTTACATTGTTTATTTTATATACACTTTAACAAATGGGTGAATTACAGCCTTTTAATTTCAACCATTTTGTTTGGTCTCTTTACAATTTGCATTGATTTCAAGCTTTATGAATGTTTGTTGTTCTTTATTTTGGCAGGCGACCTAGATGGTCATGACCTTCACCTTTGTGACTAGCATGCAAAAGTCACTTGTTGGATTGGAGCATGTGAACACTTCCTGGTTATGTGAAAATTCTAGCATTTTTCAAATATATATATTTTTTTAAATCCATTTTTAATTTTCATTTACAATTATTATTTCTATTGAAAGCTGGTCACCTTTTTAAACAAATTTTTATTCCATTAATTGTTTAATTTTCTGGCAAAAGAGAGACAAAAGGTTTGTGGGCTTTCAAAATAAGATCTTGTATTTTCTCTGTTTTTAAAGTCACTGCTTCATTATTTTCTATTGTAGATCCCCTGCTGATTGAATAACTGCTTTTTAGTAGTCACTTTTGTTGTGATGCATGGTCTGTGTAATTAATAATAACCCCCACATAATCATCATATCTACAACTACAGGTATTGAACATTCACTCTAGGTCAGAGTGACATATTGATGGGTTTTTTTTGGTGTTTTTTTTTTTTTGGTGTTTTTTTTTTTTTTTTTTTTTTTTTTTTTTTTTTTTTTTTTTTTTTTTTTTTTTTTTTTTTTTTTTTTTTTTTTTTTTTTTTTTTTTTTTTGCAAAAGAAACTGCTTTCAAGTTCAAGTATTAACCTTGTTGTCCTAAAATATGTTCATTCTTATCTCATCAAATACCATGTTCTTCTATCATTGAATAAATTTTAGTAATTTATATTCCTTTTGACATCTTTTAATGGTCCTTTTCTTTTAAAAATATTTCCTACAGTAAAAATTATTTAAATTTAAAGAGTAATGTTTTTTTTTGTTCTTCAGAAAAACAAAATCTCTGGAGGCATTGTCCATGAATACTTTTTGTGTGTTTTTTTGTTTGTTTTTGAAATGAGCAAAGGGCTGCTTAAATTTATATTCCTTATATGCATTTACATTTAAACAGTAGAAGATGTAGTTTTTGCTTCCAAGTTAATAAAAGAAAAATATCAGCTTGTATTATGTTCAGAATGAGGAGGGAAAAAAAAATGTTTTTCGCTGCAATACAAAAGCTGATATTTTCTTTAATAATTATGCTGCTACCAGCCTTTTCATGATTGTAAGTAAAAGCCATGAAAATGACTTTATATTTATAGAGATTGTCGAGTAACTTATTAAGAAAAACTCGGTTCATCTTCTTTCACTTGCATTTTCAACCTCATTTTTATTTTTCGACAAGCACACAATTAAAATTTTAGATACTCTTTCATGCCTAGGCACACAAATAAAATTTAGATTCTCCTTCATGTGTAGGCTTACTCAACAATTTTCTTTTTGGTATTTTATATCTGATAAAATAAAAATTGAGTCTGTCAAAGATAATCTTAGAAAATGAGTGGATCATACCTTAATGCTTATAGAGTAAGTGTAAGATATTAGCAATCCCCTTAAACAGAAGAATTTTCTTAGTGCTGTCCATCTGAATAAATGGCTTTGTAAACAACAATTTTCATACAAGTAATTGATGTTGCAATGCTGCTAGATGTAAAATATCTTAACACTTATCTCCCCTTCTGTTTGGTTGAATTTCTTTGCTTTGTCAGCTTATCAAAAATATATATCTTATTTTATAACATTTAAGTATTTTGTATTCTTTGTTAGATTCCTCAACAGTTACCTTCTCATACGCATAATAAATTATCGTAGGGATTTACATTGTGATGGAAACTCAATTAATACCAAGAGGGATTGATTAAGTCTCAAGTTGCTATCTTCAGTTTTAAGATTATATATTACCGGTACTTTAAAAAGTTGTAAATTTTCTAATCACTGAAATTCATTTGTATGATATCTTCTCAACATTTTTAGTTATTAACTAATTTCTACTATTTTTGCAAAGTAGAAATAAACTACTTTATGTTCTAGATTGACATGATAAAACGATATTAGTTTTAAATCAGCACACATTCAGTTAGCATCCGGAGCAGTATTTTTTAAACCAATGAAAGTGCTGTTTGACTAGAGCTGTAAGATTGCCTCACATTGAACTTACATCATAGCCACATTGTCCTCAACATTTTAACCTGATTTAAATATTTTAAATGGTTGAAAGTGGAGAGTGCTTTGAAAATAAAATCTTCTTCTCAGTTAACTTATCACTTTTTAAACTATTTTTAACTTTGTTTTCTGTTTTACACTTGAAAGAATGCTAAAATCTTAATTTATATTTTTAAATTATTACAAAATGGTTTTAATGAACTAAACACAATTTGTGAATATATTAATTAAATGGATTTTTAAATACCTTTTGGGGGTCTTACTAAACTAAAGTTAAATACTTTTATAATTTAGATCAACTGTTCTGCTGATATGTTATAGAGGCTATCAAATATTCATTTAGGGGAATGGGGAGTTTTTCTATTTTAAAATTTCGTTACTTGTAAAAATATTTTACATCCTGAAATAAATTATCATTTGTTAAGTTATGTAGCTGTATGATCAAACTGAAAGAAAATGATATTAACAAAATGAACAAGAAACAAAGTCCTTATCAAATACCTCACACCACTTCGATACGTCCGTCCTGTGTCCTCTTACCACATATCATTTTGACCACTAGAGTTGAATTTCAGATTTTTTTTCCCTTATTATGAAAGTCTTAGCCCAGACTTATTTGAATTGAAATATGATCATGGAGTTTATTGATTGCTAAGAAATGTTTGTTCCATTTAATGGAAAAAGAAAATGTTATGGGAAGATGGTAATAACAGATTGGTAGCAACAAAAAGAATATTTCAATCATTACTTTGATAGCTCAAATAAAAATAAATAAAAAGGACTTCTAATTTTTGTCATTTTACAGTAATCTACTTCAATTGTGTACATAAATTTTGCCCCTTTTTAGCATATACAACCTTAGTGAGTTTTTTCTTTTGTTTCCTTTTTAAATCTAAAAAAAAAAAAAGGGTTAATATTTTTTTTTTTTTTAATTTTACAGTAATCTACTTCAATTGTGTACATAAATTTTGCCCCTTTTTAGCATATACAACCTTAGTGATTTTTTTCTTTTGTTTCCTTTTTAAATCTAAAAAAAAAAAAAGGGTGAATAAACCTCATTTCTGTTCAAGCAAAAAAAAATGTATTAACATGAGCAAATATGATACCGAACTTAGAATGAGACTGCCAGAAAACAATATTTATTAGTTGTCTCAGTCAGGTGTATATGTTTTCATTAAATGAATTTAATTTTTAATTTCAAAAGTACTTATATTTTTATTTATCTATTGATTATAAAACATCCATACATGTTACATTAAAGAACAAAGAATTTTGAAACGTTGTTTTATATTCACATTGTCCAAAGTCATTATTTATTATTTTATATTTATGAATAAAGAAACCAAGTAATGGGCAGCCTCATAGAAGTGTATTAAAAGGATATGATTGGTCAGTGATACTTTGCTGTGTCTTTTGATGACTTCAGCTGTGTTGTCAAATCTCAGATTGTCTCATTCAAATGTCATGGAAACTAATTTTTTTTAAACATGTTTTTATACTTAATATTTTATGTGTAAAAATTATGTTTGCTCTTTAAACATTATTTTATAACTGAAATCATTATGATGAGAAGAAAAATATTTCATTGTGATGCTGACTTTCTGCCAGGTGTGCATGTCACAGCTGTAAACCTAGTGAAGAATCCATTCTGTGTGTTTCAATGTTTCATTTGTAGTGTGAATGGCAGGTCTTGAACA